TGTTAAACCCAGATAATAATATGAGAAATAGTTTTGGAGACGCAGAAAGAAAACAAAATAATTTAATAGTTTTGGAACCAAAAGAAGAAAATAAATTTATTTCGAAGCTTAATAGTAATGAGAAATAACCTCAAAGAATAATTTTTCATACCATATTTTGCTTCTTAGTAAATCTGGTCATCTTGTGAAATGGCTCTTTAAAGTTATTGATGTTTCATTTCAAATTAGACCTCTCTTTGAGATGGAATACCAAGTAGACAAGAATAAGCATGTTTGACATCTTCTCTTTGATTTTAATCAGTGTCACAAAGCTTCCAAAGTTGCTCAAGATACTCAAAACATCTGTGTTATGTATGGAAAGGGAGTCAAGAAAGCAAAACAAAAAAAGGAATACTATGTCTAATGGGGTCAGTAAGAACTGGTCTTGGAGCCAAAATTAGAAATTAAGGATAGAAATTTATCTTAAACACAGATAATAATATGAGAAATAGTTTTGGAGTCAGAGAAAGAAAACAAGATAATTTTTTATCTAACCAGCATAGTAATATGAGAAATAGTTTTGGAACCAAAGTTAAAGACAATAGAAGAAAATAAATTTATTTCTAAGCTGAATAGGAATATGAGAAAGGATTTTGGAACCTAAGTTAAAAATAAAATTTTATGTATAATCAGCTTAATAATATGAGAAAGAGATTTTAGAGTGAAATTTAGAAACAAAAGAAAAGAAAATTATGTCTAACCTGCATTATTATATACGTAATAGTTTTGGAGCCAAAGTTAGAAACAAAACAAAACAAAACAAAAAAGGAAATTTATGTTTAACTGGCATAGTAAAATTAGGTTGTTACATTCTTTTTTTCTGAATGATCTGCAAATAATCTCAAAGAATAATCTTTCATACCATATTTTGCTTCTTAGTAAATCTGGTCATCTTGTGAAATATCTTTCTAATGTTATTGACATTTCTTTTCAGATTAGACTCCCTCTTTTAGATGGAATGCCAAGTAGACAAGAATGATCATGTTTGACATTTTGCTTTTAAGCAAGGTCAAAAAGCTGTCAAAGTTGCTCAAGTTACTCAAAACATCTGTGTTATGTATGGAAATGAAATGCTTCAAAACAAGCAAATGGTCAATGCTATGCTGCATGTTGAACAAATGAACAGGCTCAAAAAAGCAATCCAATTGAAAAGAGCTGACCGGTGATGCAGTGTTTATATTCAAAATGGCAATGCTCACCCCCACATCACTAACATAACCAAGCTTGCAATTAAAAAGTCCACACTCCTCTGTGACTCCTGCTCATGTCTATTCAGAGGTAGACATGCCCTTCACAGCCATCTCTGTCACCACCACCAGGAATACTATTTGGCTGCCAACAAAGATATATATATATATATATATATATATATATGGCAAAACCATTGTCATAGTGTCAACCAGCAGAAACTCATCAAAAGACTTAACATAGTTTATATATATATATATATATATATATATATTATTTTTTAAGCAGAAATTCTTTGTTTAAACTAAGTTTTAAATTAAGTTTTACAATCTGTTATGGTGACCTATTCTACATTAGAATGAACTCTTCCTCCTTCATAAATACTAATCTGTGAGACTTCCTAAGGGGGCAGTCGGGATGCAGTATAACTGAACAGTTTGGATGGATACTTCTATTTGCTGATTAATAACACTCTTATTTTGTATATATGTTCTGTTATTTCAATACACTTGTTCAACCTGTGTCTTTCTTTCTGGCCTCTAACAGGCCACAACACACTCTAAAAATATTTTGGGCTTTAAATAACCTCAAAAGGGTTGATAAGCTGTAGAAAATGAATGAATCAATCAAGCATGTTTGGCATAAACCGTTTGCCTTTAAAAGTAGGTTTTTAATAGATTCTTACATATATTAAAACATTTTTTCTGATGTTCTGCGAATGATCTCAAAGAATAATCTTCCATAGCATTTTTTGCTTCTTAATAACTCTGGTCATCCTGTGAAACTATTGTCTAACATTATTGAAATTTTATTTCAGATTAGACAGCCCTTTGAGATGGAATGTTCGGCATCTTCAGATATTTGCTTTTAAAAAGGTTCACAAAGCTATCAAATCTGCACAACACATTTGTACTGTTTATGGATATGAAATATTTCAAAACAACCAAATAGTCAATGCTGAGCAGTATGACAAACAAATGAACAGAAGCTGAAAGATGTTATTTAGCTGAAAAGACCTGACTAGTGATACAGTGCAATTATTTAACATGACACTAACATAAGATTAAAGAGCTTGGTTGGGAAGTTCTGCCACAGTCACTTTCTAAAAATTTGAGGGGTGTTTCATTCAACAATGATATGGAGCTTAAAACGTGACTTGATGAAGTTTTCAAGTCAAGACCTAGTGATTTCTATTGTCAAGGCATTAAACAGTGGATCATTGGCAGGAGCTCATAAACAAGGAATGGGAATATATTGTTGAATGATTCCTCAGAACTATTAATAAATAATAAGTATTAAAATAAATTATAAAAAAAAAAATGAATGAATTCATGTAGCAACTTCACCTTTTGAGCCCTGTGTTTCTGAACAAATTTAACCCTTCTGTCTGAGCTCCTGAATCAAAATTCACAAATAACTGGTATGTAATGTTTCACACTAGATATAAAAATAAATACAAGTGTTTACCCACCATTCAACCAGTGACTGGGTATTGTCATTTTTCTCTACCACTGTTCAACCAGTGACTGGGCATTATGTAATTTTTATCCACCACCGGTAAAGCGGTAGTCAGGGCTCAAAGGGTTAATATAAGAAATTGTTATGGAGTGAAAGTCAGATGACAAAAAGTACTAAAGAAAATGTAGTTTTTAAAGCACAATTTATTTATTTTTTTTAATTAGATTACCTCAAGGCAGTAAAGCCACTAAGATACAAATGGTTACTGGGTGTGAAAGAACTGGAAAGCAGAAAGATTACTAAGGAGCAATAGTAATGCAAGAGTAAGCAGGAAGACAGTAGATAATGATTGACATTACATTTAAATTTTTAAAGATCAAAGTTCCCTGAAGCCAGATGTAAGTTTCACAAATGAGAAGAGTGAAGAAAGAAAGTGTTAGCATTGAACTTACAGTTAAATTTAGTTAATTTAACGGTAAGTTGATGAGACCTTGTTGTCAATCTAGTACTTTGCTTAAATTAATAAAGTCTAGATACCAGAGTGAAAAGCTCATCCAAACAATTGTCATGTAAGTGTATATATATATATATATATAAGCCCAGGGAAGTAACATTATAGTGGTGAGAATGTGGCTGAAGCCGAGATGCCAGGTCAGGACCAATAATACTGCTGATTCTTCTTTGGATTTTAGCAAGAATCTCTAAATATACAGCAGGAGCACTGGACCATATGTATTAGCAGCATTGAAAGCATGGATGAATGGTAGACTTGTAGATATGTAAGATAGATTCTAGAGAAAAAAATTGTCTAGCATAACACAACGAACCAAATTTCCTAGCAGTTGACCTTGCAATGGATTCAATATACACTTTCCACTTCATGTCAGCAGAGAATGTTAACCCAAGAAGACATAATGAATCACTCTTCTGGAGGTTAACATCAGCCATGCTGATGGAAGGCAGAAAGGAGTCTCTCAGATGATTAATAGAGAGCAGTTTTGTTTTGGAGGCATTAAAATTAACAAGCCATCCTTTGCCCCGGTTAACAACTGACTTGTAGGTTGTTTTTAACATCAGCTGCTGATTTGACCTTATTGAATTGATCAGATTTAGTATCAAGACAGGAGTAAATGGTTGTTATCTGCACAGATACTAGCGGTGGCGTAACTGTGGTTCATGAGCTACTTGTGGCTCTTTGACCTTTAACATGCAACCAGTGGAAATATTTTGGCTGATCTCCCTTTTTCATCACAGTTAATATAAAAGGTAAATCCTCATAGTACATTACCATATTAAATACACTCAATATATTTAAAACAATCATCAGTCAAGATTTTGAAAACATTTGGTATATACATATGTGTACTTTGTGATTACTGAAAACAATAAAAATTAACAGTTTAAAAACTGCATACATGAATAAATAATATTACATACATGCATTTCTTACTATTTATATAACAATTTTGTAATAAAATGTGTAAGTAACAAAAACCTATGTATAAATTTTGTTCATGTGTTTCTGCTCTGAAGCATTTGAACTTTATCATATGTGGCTCTTACATTAAGCAAGACTGGCTAGCCCTGATATATACTATTGTATAAATAACCATATTGTGACACTATTGGAAAGGCGATAGTAAATTGAAAAACACTAAATTCCAACAGACTGAAGATATACCAATGACCAGATGAAGGAAAATGAAAGAAAAAGATATTTGTTTTTAATTCAGAAAAAAACTAGAAGACTGAAAAACACTAAATTCTGATAGACTGAAGATATACCGATGATCAGATGAGGGAAAAATCAAAGAAAAGGATATTTGTTTTTTATTGAAAAAAAAAAAAAAACTAGAAGAAGGTAATTAAATTTCTCGTTCACTGGAAAGGTAAAACAAAGAGACGATCTGGTTTTGACTAGAACTAAATGATGAACTATTTTGGAGGACCAATAACCTCCCAAAAAGAAATAGATAATATTTTTATGATCATTGTGAGCAAAGTGGAAGAAACAGACCTCTGGCTGTGAGTTCAGCTGATAGATGAGTATTGACTTTTAGAAGCAGAAAAGTTTCCAGTAGGAGATAGATAAAAGAATGACATTTAAAATTTTTGTTGTTCGAAATACGATAAAACTTCCCAAAATCAAGGGATTGTTCCCTTTTTGACTCTTGTTGACCAAAGGGTTGATGATGGGATAAGAATAATCGATTCCAGATACAGAAAAGACCAAAACACCAAAAGCATATGATAGAATTTTGAATGATAATTAAAATTTGGCCAATGGACTAGACCACGCCTAGCCCTTAGGAGACAGGTTTGGTCAAGTGACCAAGGAGGGGAGAGCTCGGGTGAAATTGCAGGGAAGGTGGAGGACTGTCCATGCCCCTCGGGCAGTGATGGTGAGAGGCACTTACACAAAGTAGGAAGGCGACAGGTTTGATCACGTGATCAGAAGGAGGAGAAGGCCCAGGTAGAATTCCAAGGAGGGAGGAGGAACTCCCCCATATTTGGTCATTTGCAGGGAGAGCCCTGATTGGTTGTTTGGAAGTGCTGGCATACACAGAGCATATCATGCCTCACCCCAGCCCTTGCACATTGGTTCATAAAACAAAACTCTACAGTAGAGAGAAAAAGCAGAGACACTGCGGACAGACTATATCAGAGAGACCAATGCTTCACCTGATCTCATGTGATTTGCCGCCCTGAAGAAAAAGCCTCTGACTTAATGCCTTGATCCAGAAGTCACATTTTAAAGAATTCTAACAACAGTGTCACAACGTTCAGGAAGGGACGAGAGTTATTGCATGGACAATATAGTCTTGCTTAAGCTATCAATAACTGTAGCATCAACTTTGTATCAAGTAACTGTATATAAATATTATTTTGATTCTATCCAATTTATTTTTTTGTGTGAATTTACTCTGATCGGACTGAACCAAACCAAGTCATTGATTCCAGTCGACTATTCAGACCAAGTCAGTCTTGTGATTAATTAATCACAACATGGGGTGAGACAAGACTTGGGTTGAAACGATCAACTCTAGGATCAATCGAGGAGTTCAAACTTGAATATGGAACAGCCAGGGTAATCATCATACTATTACTCACAGTTGACCCTCTATCATTTTATTTTTCTTATTAATTTCATAATCATCCTTAAGGTAAGGAAGTAATATTCAATAATTAACTTTTACTGGAGACATTTTTGAAGATGATCATCTGTATTGCATTTTGGAATATCTTTGGTAGTTGATGTAGTCTGCATTTGAAGAAGGCTGAAGAAAATATTGGCTGAAATGTTGTGATACAACAAAAATAAGGATACAAATAAAAAATGATAAAATAGAAGCCAGTATGAAGAGAGGTACACTGAGTGGGGATAAGAAATGATACCAGAATGGAAGCAACTTCTAAGAATGACAAGGAATTGATTTTTCATTTATGAGAACAACACGATGGTGTGACTGTTAACAAAATGCAATTCCCAGATTTGTTCCTATTGATTATCAAAACTGTGTCTTGAATTGTCAGTGTTGGGTTTTTGTGGAGGATCTGTGATTTGGAACAGTCTGGTTTTGTGGGTGGGTGGCAATTGGAAGAGTAATACATTTTTTAAGGAAATAAAGAAGCTAATAAGAGAGAGAGATGATTAAAAACATAGGAGAGAAATCTCTATCCTACACAGTAATATGAAACATTTCGTGAACGACAAAGAGAAGAGTTTTAAGAACAAAAAGCGACACAAAAAAAAAGTCATATAGAAATGGAAAGTTCTAGAAAAATAAAGAGAACTGAACAACTAAAAAGCAGTGGGAGAGTCAAGGGAGAAAGATGAAAGAGAAAGAGGAGGTCAGAATGAAGACATTATTATATTGAAAAGGAGATTGTGACAATGTGAGAGTGTGAACAGAAAACAAGAGAAAATAATGATATAATAAAGTTGGTGAAAAAGGAAGAGGAAAAAAAAAAAGAAAGAGTGTAAATTATGTATGGGAGAGTGAGAAAAAAAGATACTGAGATTCACAATTAAACCAAAAATTTAAATGTCATTTAACAAAAAATTTGCATTTATTTAAATGTCAATAACAATTATAGTATTAAAATGGTTTCCTTTCTTATTAATAAAAAAATAAATCACTTTATATATATATATATATATATATATATATAGATATATAGATAGATAACCATTGTTGGTTCTCATGAGTTGAGATGTATACACATTGAAACAACAATGCATCTTTGTAGTAAGTTTTTTTATCTGTGTGTAAAAATTATAATAAATAATTATTGCTCAACTCTTGGTATTGAGCCTTCTTTTGGACTAATGCTGTGAACATGATAATTTATATTATTTTCATTCTCATTACATTTGTATATATATATATAGGTATAAATCCGTGGGTAAACAATATATATATATATATAGAGAGAGAGAGAGAGAGAGAGAGGGAGAGAGAGAGAGAGATAGATAAAAATCCACGGGTAAACAATCCAAGTGAATCTTAATAATAAAAATATTAAAACTGATCCACAAAGAAAGCTCAATATATTTATTAAAAAGCATTTATAGATGATTTACATTTAATAAAACTCAATGCCTTACCGAGATCTTTAAGATCTTAAAAAATTTTGTGTTGAAAAACATTGGTAAGGAATTTTTCCTTAGGAGGTGAAATTACTATCCATATGGGGTTTTGAGTTTCATTAAATGTAAATTATATATATATATATATATTGCAAAAAATGATACCACCAACTAAAAATTTGTCTAATGCTTTTAGGCCAGAAAATGCATATGTGAGTTTCACATGCTTACAGTCTGGGGAATACCTGAATGGATGCTTCCTCAATTTCTACAATCTTAACCTTTTCATGGCTAGAGTCAACAGTTATCTATCCTAAATATCCTCCTTGTACACCCTTACATCAACTTGTAACACTTTACCTTAAGGAGAAATGTAAAGCAAAATATTTGAGGGTAAGAGAGAAAAAAGACAAGAATGGGCATTTGAAGATTAAAAATGACATATAGAGAGGAACAAAGTTTGAGTAACAGGGAGAGAGAAAGGGGGAGGAGAGAGAGAAGAGCTAAGAGAATGATGGAAATGAAAGAGAAATAGAAAAACTTTTTAGAAGAAGTGAAAGAGATCTGAGAAAGAAGAATTAGAGAGATAAAAAAAAGCTGACAAGAATGAAAAGTGAAAGAAAAAAGAAAGGAAGGAAAATAGACAAATTAGTAGAAAATATAGAGAATAAAAATGTAATTAAGATAAAGTGAAGAGAAAGGAACAAAGATATAGAGAGAAAAAAAATATGTAAAGATAGAAGGAGGAGGAGGAAGAAGAGGTAGAGAGGATGAAGAAAAAGATGTAGAAAGGAAGAAGATAAAAGAAAAGAACAAAGAGATAGCAAGAAAGAATAGGTATAGAGAGGATAGCAAAAAAAAAAGGAGAGAAAGAAGAGAAGGAAATGGAGAGAAGAGAACAAAGATGTAGAGAGATAAAAAGAGATTAAAAAAGCAGCAGAAACATGCACTTATCATGTTAGGTAGTTGGAGACAAAATCAGTAACAAAAAATATGATTTGGGTTTTATGTAACAATGTTAATTATAGGATGGTAATTTAAACCTAAACAGAACAAAAAAAGTCATATCTTTTCAGGTTTTTCTTTTTTTAAGATATTCAATTTTCTTATCAGTTATCCACATTTTTTAACATTCAACATTTTCGAATACAAAAATCAAGAAAGAGAAAATATCCCAGCACTAAAAAGAATAATTTCAAGCTGTGTATTTGAATGACATGTCTTGATTCTAAGTCAATACCTGAATCTGTGAACTATATCCTAATACAGACATCAATATTAGCACATAAAGAAATTGAATCTGACTCAAGTGTTACTTTTACCATTTTTATGTTCATCCTGTTATTTGTTATTGGTACAGCTTCATAAAAATTAAAACATTTGCTTGGTGTAAGGGAATTATAGAAGAGAATCAAACCAACATGAAGAAAAGACTTCGATTAAGCTGTGTCTTCTGTATACACGAGTTGTATCTACCTGAATAATTGGCTGTTTAGAGAAGGCAATCTCTCAAAATAGACAGGAACACTGCTAAGTTTTCATGGCTGTTGTGGATCGTAAATGTCTGATGATGAGAGTAGTGGTTACTAGTTGACATCTCTAGATATATTGTTGTTGTTGTTGATATAGATATCCTACTGGTTATGAGATATGGTTTTGGAAATTGGAAAAATTTTTTTTAATCCTTTCACCCAAGCGAGGTGGTAATGCCACTAGGGTGCATGGGTTTAAAGGTAGTGAAAGAGAAGTCTTTAATGAGAAGACAGGGTTCAGGAAGACAGAAGATCGCGGTTGATGTTACATTTAAAATTTTTTGAAGATCATAGGCAGGAGGAAAGCAAGAAATCAGAAGGAAGTTCCACAGGTGAGAAGTGTGAGAAAAGAAACTGTTAGAATAGAAAAAAGAAATGGTCGCATGAAATGAAGACAACAGTCTGAATATAAATATTGTAAATAATGATAACTCCATATCCCCAAAATTATCTTTTCCTGATTATAAGAATTCTTCTGTTGCCATTTTTTCATGTATTATTAGTAGGAGTGTTAATTCTGAGCCACTTGAATTCCTGCATTGCCCAATACATGACAGTTCGAAATTAACACTCATACTAGAACATGTCTCACACAGTCAAAACATGAAAACAATCTATAAACACCAAAGCAATCCCTCCCCCCACGGAAAATGGCTAAAAAGTGGCTAAAAGCGCTTGGGACAATGGACGATATGAACAGTTTTGTACAGTTTTTGTCACTCCCATCAATTGGAAAAATGTAAGAACGCTGGACAAACTAAATAAAAAATATATATACAGATATAGAAAAGTGGAAATTGAAGTCGTTACCCAGCAACAACAGTCTGTTTCATTATTCAGACTATTGTCCTCATCTTTGTCGCCATATTTATTACAACGTTTTGGCTGTTGTACACTCTGGCCTTCTTCAGATAGTTGGAATGTTGAACTGAACCCTTTATTTCGCTCACTAGGATAGATTGTTCTAGTTCCACGTGCTATGTTAAATGGATGTCAGTTGTCAGTTATCTCCTGTTAATTCCCCTCCCCAAATTCTCCACTGCCTTAACCGGGTATTGAACTCACACTCTTTGGGTCCTGTCACTGGATCTAACTAACGGCTTTATCCATACCATGTCATACACAGATGACCTCAAGGACACATGGCACAGTGGATAAAGGTTAGATCCAGTGACAGGACCCAAAGAGTTTGAGTTCAATACCCGGCTAAGGCAATGGAGATCTTTCAGAGAGAAAATTAACAGGAGATAACTGACAACTGACATGGCATGTGGAACTAGAACAGTCTATCCCAGTGAGCGAAATAAAGGGTTCAGTTCGACATTCCAACCACCTGAAGAAGCATACAATGGCTGAAATATTGTAATAAATATGGAGACAAAGATGAGGACAATAGTTTGAATAATGTAAATAGTGTACATGATATCTCATCTTGGAAATATAGACAGAGTCTGTTTCATGCTTAAATTTCATGCAATCTTCTGGCAATCAAGCATTTAAGCATGGAACAAATTGTTGCTGTTGACCTCAATGTCCACTTTTATATTTATATTTGCATGCACTCTATCCCATAAATATAGCATACCTCAAAACTATATTTTTATTATATATATATTACATACACATATTATATAAGAAAAAAATATTGTTTAGTCATATTAATAATGCTATCTTGTGATATAAAGTATAGATAGTTATATTTGTGAACACTTTTTTTTGGATAGTGGCAATTGCCTCAAATTTAGTCTAAGATAAACATGCTGACTGAAATTGTCTCGGACAAACAGAGAAAAACCCCAGATATGATAAAATAATAAATATACTTACACAACATTAAAAAGTACTCCTAAAGAAGCAGTTAGAAGCATTTCGTCTGGATGGACATTTTTGTAATTCTCTGTAATAATACGTTGACTGGCAATATAGCAGAGAATTCCTGATACCAACCAAATCAATAAAACACTGACCACAGCACCAAGAACCTCTGGAATAAAAACAAATAAAAAAATAATAATTAGAATGAAAACATAAAAATATATATAATTTTTTTTACAATATTTATCATTTTTTTTAAATGTTGATGATGAGATAGCTGTTTCCAGAGAGGAAAATTTAGCATTCATTGTCTGAACAGTCAACATTACTATCGGTTGAGATTTACAAAATCTTTCTCTTAAATCAGTTTCTCAGTTCCACTGTTACTGCACTTTTCAGTATTAATAGGAATTTCCTTCCTAACCTTTTGTTTAAGATAGTGTGGAATGTCAATATCTTGAGTATATCATTATTTCCCCCTTCTGTTAAATGTCCATCTTAGTTGTTGTCAGTGCTGGAAGTCTTCAAGTGATGTAATTTTGTTATCTGATGAAGTTCTTTGTTTAAGATACTGAATGATTGTTCTATAAGTTCTGTAACTACAAGGGAATACAATGTGCTGTAAGTTTGGATGTGTGGGTGGTGTAATTGATAATGGCTCAGAATTGTTAATCAAAGAGCCAAGTTCCAATTGGGCTCATTATATTCACTTACACTTAGGAATCCACCTCTTCTCCCCCAGCTATGGGTTAATTAGTAAGACTTGTATTGTTAAACCATTATTATCTAAAAAAATCTTATAATCTAAAAATATTTTCTGGTTTTAAATAAACTGCAAAGAATTGATAAGCCATAAAAATGAATAGATCAATATAAAATCTGATAAAAGATAGTCCTCTTAAAGACCTACAGGTTTCATTTTCTTAAAGTCACTTTTAATAATTGATCTAAGAAAAACAGTTATATCTAGCTGATAGTTTAGATATTTCTGAATGAGTTGGAGGTCATGTATGATTTCAACATGAGTGTCTATATCTAACAAGGCTACTTAAGATAAATATTTTGGTTCTATAGCATCTGGCAGTATTGTGTGAAACTACAACTAATACAACCTATTCAGTGTTCACTTTTCTTATCTCCTATATTAAAACTGTTATATATGATCCATGAAGGGAGATATTTAAAGTGTTTAGTATTTATTAATTTCACATTCTGAATTAACAAATAATAATAGCATTGATAACAAGCTCTGTTGTATACGAGATACTTACATTTCAATAAACATTACAAAGATGTGCTGGAGTGTATCATAAGTGATGTTTATACTGGGTTTATTGATAATTTCAGGCATCATATAATCTCACCAAGCTGACCTTGTCATCATCGATCATGCGACAACATGTATCTCAGCAGCAAATTACACTTAACCTTTGTTGCATTGTGTTAAATTAACTATAGCTATTATTCTGGTAAACTTCAATCTCTGATCAGAATGCCAGCCAATAGGAAACATTCCTTCCCATTTGTCTTGTCTATAATACAATACTGCACCCATTTAATTTTCTTGGTGCTTCTGTTATCAGAAAAGACTCGGAGGACACTATCGGTGCACTATGTAGACAGCTTTGTTTGATATAAACTCTTATATCTTTAGTAGGATTCCTGAAATATATGGGATTACCCAACCTTGTCTACCAACAGATTTTGCGTAGCTAGATGACATGGCAATCAGTTGTACAAGTGAAAAGGATACACTCTTGCTTTTGGATTTTGCTCTGGAATGTAGCAACAACATAGGACTCTTCCCATTGGAGGAGACAGCAGTGCACACACATGCACACAGATATACATACATACATACATACATACATACTGAACTATATATAAACATAACATTTTATAATTTTCAAAATTATAAATTTTCAAAATTTTTATAATTTTCATCAACGATTTTCCTGATGTTATCATTTCTCAACTCAGCATCTATGCTGATGGTACAACTACAGGGTGACCAGTAAAAAAAAAAATGACAAATTTATTATCACAATTTTATCTTTCATGAATAACTGACCTTGAATAAATTTCTTGAATATATGAAAGAAATTTATTCAAGGTCAGTTATTCCTGAGAGATAAAACTGTGATTTTGAATAATCCTTTGACTCTCGTGTAATTACTTAAACCTGATTGTTTCTTTTATGATTGATTAATTGCTGCTTGATCTTGTGACTTGTCATTTAAAGGTTATTTGAAGACGACATTCATCTTTCAATTCTGCCCTTCTTGTATGGCTAAACAACTCACTGATTTTGAGTCTCATGTTATACTTTTTAAAGAAGAACATCAGACATGGGGATTGACGAAATAGGCAGAAAATCTTCCAGAATTTTTCAGTCATCACCAGATTTCAATGGTTGTCTCACGTCTTTCTGAATTCACCACTTTTTTTACTGGGCACACTTTATTTACTCTTGTCTTAATGATAATTCTGATCAATTCAATAAAATCAAATTGGCAGCTGATCTAAAAAAAATGACCTACAATCTGTTGTTAACTGGAGCAAGAAATGACTTGTTAATTTTAACATCTCTAGAACTAAACAGCTCTCTATTAATTGTCTTAGAGAACCTTTTATGCATTTTATCAGCATGCTGATGCTAACATTCAGGATAGTGACCACTTGTGCCTTTTGGGGCCAACATTTTCCACCAACATGAAGTGGAAAGATTATATTGAATCAATTACTAGGTCTGCTGCTAGGAAATGTGGCTCACTATGTCGACATAGATTCTGGTAAGAAAAACTGTCTATCTTACATATTTATAAGTCTACCATTCATCCATGCATTGAATATGGCTGCCACATCTAGTCTTGTGCTTCTGACATGCATTGAGAGATTCTGCATTATTATTGGTCCTGACCTGACAACTTGGTTTCAGTCATTTTTTTTTACTGCTGTAGTTAACTGTATTATTTCTATAAATATTTTCATGGTAATTGTTCAGATGAGCTTTTCTCTTTGCTATCTAGACTTTATGAATTTAATCATATTATTTGATTGGCAGCAAGACTTCATCATTTTACAGTTGAAATGTCTAGATTTAATCATATGTTCTATGCAAAAATTATTTTCTGTTGCACTTCACACTTATGGAACTCTCTTCCAGCTTCTTACTTTTCAGTCAACTTTGATTTTGAAAAATTTAAATGCAATGTTTATTGTTATGGCTTCTTAATTCCTGTTTTTTTGGTTTGTTTTGTTTTGTTTTATGGCATATCAACCTCAATAGGTTATTTAATGCCAACAAAATTTTTATTCCTGGTAATTTTATTTTTTTCTAAAACTTTATTGCTGGTAATATTTTTTCTTCAAAAATCTATTTCTGGTAATATTTTTTCAAAAATATATATCTGGTAATATTTTTTTCAAAAAAAATATATAGCTGGTAATATTATTTTTTCAAAAATTTATAGCTGGTAATATTTTTTTTTTTAAAAAAAAATGTATTTTTGGTAATAATTTTTTACAAAATATTTCTGGTATAAAAACCTATTTTTACACTTTTATAGTATTTTTAACTCAGTTTTGCAGTCAAGTATTTGCCCATAGCTTGGACCCTAACAGGTGCTACCACCCCGGGTCAGGGTGGACCTGGTAACACCAGCAATTAAGAGGTAGTTCCACACTTCTCAAAACCTTCTGATCAGAGGCCTTGCTGTTGGATATAGTTTATCGTCTTACCCAGGATGGCCTGTTCTTTTATTGTTCTCTCTCATTAATAATGTTTTCTTTTTCTCATATTCTCCCACACTTGTGGCTTTTTACCTTTTCTTGTGGTGAAATGATTAAGTAGATGTAGAAAGATGATCCTTTAATATCTAAGTTCCTTAAAACCTACGCAAAATATTCAAATCAAAGACAAGCATAGAGAATTGCAAAAGTACATTTTGATTCACTTCAGTCACAGAAGTATTTGTACTAGCCCAGATTTTTTATAAGTGTTGATGTGAGTTCAAGAATGTTATGGTCATTCATAGAGCTTTGAATGAATGAAATCACCTTATAACAGGGGTTGGCAACCCCTGACCCAAGTCCGGCCATGAAGGATTTTTTGTTTGGCCTGCCAGCTTAATACCTGGACACTAATTATGTAATTAATTTGTGGAGCAAGTTGCAGAAAAAATATCATTTGGAGTTAATTGATTTACAATGCAACAAATTTTTTAAATCAAAATTTAATTCCAAATCCACTGCTGACTTTTACAAGAAATATATTTTGACGGAAAATAGAAAAGCCTATTAAATAACGCAAAAATGATGGTATCATTATTTGGAAGTAAATATGCTTGTAAACAACTTTTTTTTCGAAAATGAAATCTACTAAAAGTCGTTTAAGAACAAGATTAGGTGATGACCACCTGGATGATATTTTGCTGCTGTCATTGACAAACATTTCACCTGAAGTTATCAAACAATAAGCAGAAACAAGTGTCTCATTAAATAATTTGCCATTTCTAACTGTATTTCATTTGCAGTAAAGAATTTGCATTTTTTTTTTTTTATTGTTGATTGTGTTAGTTGTTATCCTGTAGTAAAATAAGGAAACTTGTTTAAATAATATATCATTAACTTTGTTGTTTTTTTTTCTTTAAACTTCCAGACCAAGGCAGCCTTCTGGACAAAGCAATCTGAGGTTGAGACAATTTATTATAATACATTTGATATCATGGCCCTACTCAAAGACAATGCATAGCTTTCTGGACCACACTCTCCAGAAGCTTTCCGACCCTTGCCTTATAATATATACTGGGTGTAACAGTAAAACTGTCATAATCATCTAATTGTCCATCCCATAAAATGTTAAATATCTAAAAACCCACTAAACTAATTGAGTTTCTTTTTTTCAGGTTTTCATATAAGATGTTTAGCCATCTTTACACCATTTGTCATAAAAATCACTGAAAAACCTTTTGAGTTATTCAGCTAGAAAGAGAACAGGTTAAAATCATTTTGTGTCAGCCCTACCGTCTTCTCAAATGAGCAATGGTAAGAGGAAAATGATCATTCAGGCCTTCTATAATGGTACCAACATTCATACTCCAGCTTTCATCTTCAAAATCCATTCAAAAACCATCAAGAGAACAGTGAATAAGTTTTTAAAAAAAGGCA